CTCAGAAATTCTTGAAAATATTTCTACCCCGAAATAGGTACTCAGTCAGTCATGGTCATCTAAAAAGAGCGTGAGTTTAGCTTCAGAATATCGCACGAAACTCTGTTTACACAAAATTTACCGCGCGAAACTCTTTAGAAAAAAAGCGCGCGAGAATCGCGTTTGACGTAAACAGAGGCTGCGTTAAACGCGCTAATTTTTTCGTAAACAGAGTTTCGCGCGATACTTTAAAGCTATACTCGCGTTTTTTTGCGCTTTTTATAGCATAATTCGTTTTTTCGTGGTTCTTGAGCCACTCTCGCGTTTGTCGCGTTGCATTGTGTTAAGAACGAGTTTTTCACTCATTGTTTGTCACAGAAATGCCTAATTTCGCGACTTCAGTATACGAAACGAATGTAACGTATCCAAGAAACTATCTTATAAATTTTGAAAAGTAAATTCGTTTGAATTGATTCCTAAACGCAAAAAATTCGGCGCCTTTCGCAAGTCTAGAAGTCATATTGGGAGTAAAGGTTGTGACCAATAATGGTCACACAGGGGATTTGCGCGGGTTAACATTAAATGAAGCATCACGCATTCTATGAACCACACTCCATCCATTTTCTAGCAACGATGATATCTCATCGTTGTTTGATAGACTAAAGAATATCTCGATGTTTTTCTTCGTTTCAACGAAGATCTAGAAAACGCCAGGGGGAAACAGCTGACTCCATGACTTCGACTGCTTGGGCTTTTGATCTAAGTTTAGTTTTCAAAAAGACTCAACTCAATGTCTTCTGTAAATCTCAGGTCGAGGACTCACGACCGTATACTACAATATAAGGAAGCTGTCCTTTTTCGTCTTTGGTCTTCCGGACATCCGACCAAGTGACGGGATATCCGGAATCGGGTCTATATAGCATAAAATCGTTTTTCTGGATGTTCGGGATGAAAGCCGTCCCGGTGTTCGGAATGAAAAGTATAGATGATCATAACAGACAAAGACTGGATGTTCGTAACAAAAAGTGTGGGGTGTTTGGAACGAGTTTCGGTGTCTGTTTTTTAATATAGAAAAGGACGCATTAATATAGTATATCCTATGTCATTGAGTATAGCGACCTCTCCTTCCATACTCAGTTAAAGTTTTTTAAAGTAGTACAGAGTAGGACTGTAGCCGTTCACGTTGCTTTGGCAAAATTTTGAACGGGAACGGAAACGGTTTTGTCGTTGACGTTCTGAACTGTCAACGGTGTCTTATCAGTTGGTGTTCTGAACTGTTAACGCTACTTCATCAGTTGATGTTCTGAACTGTCACCCAGGTCGACTCTCACGGCAAAGTCGCGGCGTGAGTCATGGAAAAAAGTCATGGCGCGAACGCGTAACGCGATCGCTATTGGACTCACGAAAAATGCCACGATGTTCGCGATCACTATAAACTCACGATGAAAAGAGATTTTTCCAATCTACTCGTAAAACTCACGGTGTGACTCCCGCTGTTGCTGTGTGAGTCCCATGTTTTTCCCAATATTTGGACGTGAGTCCTTATTCTCGCGATGCGACAAACGAAGTCGCGTCGTGAGTCCCGTGTTTTATCAAAAATTCAGCCCGACTAGCTGCTGTCGCGACATAACTCCCGCTGTCGCGACGTAACTAAGCAGGGACTCAAGATTTTTTTAGCAAGACTCCTATCGCGCCTTTTACTTACTCGCGCTTGTTTTTTTCTCCTCTCCTTGAAGTGCTTATTCGATTTGGAGTTTCCCTGTCTGAACAGGGCTTATATATAGGGTTTTTATTTATTTTTCAGGTTTTTTGAATGAAAAGAATTTTTTTAGGAGTTGTTTTTAGAGGTTTCTCTTTTCTCAAACTCATAATTCAGTCGCTCAACTCCGGTTCGACACAAAAGGTACTCGGTTGATCAGCTGCAAAGTTAATAGACCTGCTTCCGTCCTTTCCGTGCGAGTTTAATTACCATAAGGCAACGCCTGCCGTACGTGAAGAACACATTCACGCTAGGAGTTTCATCTGGAATCCCAAGGAAGCTGACGCTAAATCCTGCTCGTTATCCTGTAGGATACTCTATGCAGTTAGGTGAGCTTTTTCATGCCCCATCAAGGTGGCCCCACACTTTTTTGTGCTCACTAGTCGAAAGAGAATGGGATTTTCTGTAGAGAACACAATACCTAAATTTTTCAAAAAAAGATTAAAAATGATCCTTTATGATTATTTCACTTAGAAACATTCGCGAGAATTTAAGATCAAAAAGATGGCGTAATTCTGGTGGAGCTCTTGAATTCTAGTTTTACTGGAAGTCTGACAGCACCGTTGTACATAGCTGTAGTTCTTGATCGCACCATGTTTTACTCGGACTTTTCTTCAAGAACATGATGCGACTTTTTGAAGTTTACATCGATCCTACGATGCGCTCAGTGCCCCACAATTTCTATCTAAAAGACATCTTTACTGAAGAACTAATACGAAATCAAAGTGAGTACACGGCAAAAAATTTTGAAGATCAAGTTCCTCGTTTAAATCCTTCTGGCATATTTCTGTCGCGATGTTGAACTATCTTCTTTACTCTATTTCTGAAAAGTTAATCATGACCTGTGATAACTTTAGTGAAAGAAATTTTCATTTGGAATGAAGTTTTCTGTCCCCTATGATTCAAAATCTGGTATCGAAATAAAGGTAAGAGAGGCTGATGTCTTATGATTTTAACGTGAGCCTTACCAATAAGGTAACGTTTCCCGTATGTGAAGAAAACATTCTCGCTCGAACTTTCAGAGAATGCGTATTCGTAAATACTAGACGCTAATATTAGTTCGTTGCTAGAGCCAATCTAATATTCTTCCTATACTTCGAAAGAAAAGATAACAAACTATATTTTAACGAACATCCGTTGTATTCTGTTACGAACCTCCGACGTGTTTTGTTCCGAACATCCAGACATTTTTATATACAAAACACTAAAAAGAGCAGGCTTATGCCGTTCCGTACGTCCAGACGACTTCTATTCCGAACATCCGATCTTTTTGCATTCCGATCCTCGGGACTTTTCATTCCGAACATCCGGACTTTTTCAAAAAAACCGGAGCCCGGAACGGACCACTCCATCGGATGTCCGTAAGAAAAAGCAAGGATGAAAACGGACGCGCCCGATTATAAGTAAAAGTCAAGAAATGAGTGATTTTTTTGCTTCCCTAACTTACTTGTAGTCTTTGTAGTTGTAGTCCAAGTAGTGGTTGTGGTGCTTGTACTTGAAGTTGTGGTAGTACCTAAATGTACAGGTTCTACCGGTTAGTATTAAACGGAGTTAAAATCGAAAAGTAACCAATTTGTCGTAGAACTGACTGTGCTGGTTGTAGCTGGAAAAAAGAAAGGATAGCAATTTTTTGAGCAGATTTAACTTAGCTTTTATCGATTCTAGTTCTATTTAAAAATTTTACATATCGGTGATATGGTTGATGTCACAACTATATCAGCTGTGATTGATTAATATCAGTAAAATAAAATTTGCTCATGATTACTGTTTTATTGATAATATAAATACAGAAGTATGGGGGCGAAAGTCACACTTTATTTGAAACCATGGATACAAACTTCAAGCAAGCAAAAGGAAATGAAATGCTTTTGTTCCTGAAGAAAACAAATTTTCAGTCTTCAATTGCGCTAATACCAATTTGAACTTCTTCTTCTTCGCCGACTCTAAAATCCGTTCTAATATCGAACTGAATGTTTTTAGCAGTTAGATATCGAATCCATTTGCCTTTGTCGTGATAAAGCACCATGGTTTGGTTCACAACAGCAAATAATTCGGGACCTTCTGGACTGATTGTCTTGTAATATTTTGCACCTGGATAACCCTCACCTTCTCGGTTACACAAAATTTTTAAATCTTCCCATGCATATTCTGTACCAGTTGTTGTTCGTGGCAAATGTGTCTCGCGGCTAATATACGTAAATGTACAAGTGTTCATCTTTTTCGAGCGAATTCAAAAAATAATTTGACTACACACGGTAACATCCATACATGGCGAAAGAAAAAAATTCCAACTGATTTATGTATAGTGGTATACGACAAACTTCTCGACTTCCAGAATTTTATTGCTCTTAAAAGAACATGACGCATAGTGAGTTAATAGATTTTAAAAAGATAAGTTAAATAAAAAATATAAGATAAATTTCTTTCTTGGTATGTACTCAATGTACTTTTTTCTTTTTAAAGTGTATTAAGCAAATAATATTATCATTTATCGACAAGAACAATGATATTGTTGAGAATTAGATCACTTTTTTTGCACGTTGAAATATTCCAAGTAGGAAAGAAACCGAAAAAACTAATATAAGTTTTTACTCATGAAAAGTGAAAGAGAACAAAAAGAATTATATTAAGTAGCAGTCTTTCTTTTTAACTTTGCACATTTATTGTTCTTGTTTCAGCCTTTTTTACATTATATGACGACATAAGGAGGTCATATGTATTTTTTCTTCTTCCTCGTTCTAACGACGCTATGTTCTGACCAATTCTTCTGCGTCATTAATTTTCTTCTTATCTTTTCTCGGATGTTCAGATATGTATATAATTACCTGTATTTTTCACGAGTGTAGTGCATTGTATTTTGTTAGCAAATAAAGTGAACAAGATAGAGAAACTATCACGATAGTTTTACTACATAACAATTAACTCTTTTTGATTTTATGAAGATGATATGGTCATGAGCAAGCAAAAGGTTTGTACTACAAACGTACGTTTAACAGTAAGATAAATGATAAAGAACGATCAGATGAGCAGTTTTTTCGATTCTGGCTCTGATGTTGCCGTATCATTCACTGCTGTTTGGTTTTGTAATGATGTGAGCCAAGATGGAGGAATACAACTTCAAGTTGAAAATTTGGTCAATAATCTCATTCCGGTTAGCAATATAGAGTCGTGTGTAAAATCGATTCAAGATGCTCGGGATGATATCGTCTTTTTAATTATATTAAATGACCATCATTTATCTGTAATCGATCGCGTTCATGAAGAGTCCAGGCTTCATTCAGTGTATGTGTATATTGATTCAACCATTAATGATACGCTTAAATTGGTTTCAACTTTTTCTAAGGTAAGACAAATGAGAGAGAGATTTTTTATCAGTTCTTTGTCTCTTATAGCTAAAAAGGCCTTTTTATGATTCAATTACACTGCTAACAGAATTATCCAACATCATTCATGGCTACAATAAACATTCTAATATTCCATTATTTATTTTTAACCAATCAAACATGGATGTGAGCACGAGTGAACTAAACGATATTGCTTACTTTGCAAAATTTTGGCAGTTATTATTCGTTGATTTATTATTCAACTTAAATAGTGAGTCTGAGAACGATAAGAGACTTTTCATTGAACACTGTCGGAGGTATTACAATCGAAACGAACAAGCTTTAAAAACAATTGCCGAGTTTGCTAGCAGCTACAAAGCGCATGAGGCTATTCAATGGTATACATGCGACTCGTTTATCTACAAACTAATGAATAGAGTATTTCGACAACAAAATATACGTGGCATTTTTCTTTTTCGTTTTTTTATAAACGATCTTTATCGTCAAATAAAAGAATGGTATGAAGAAAATATTGAT